ATACATTCAGTTGCCTAGAGACATTTATTTCAGGTACTTGTATAGCGCCTTCAATTTACGCAGCACTTTTACATATGTATTGTACATTCACATCAGTCCCTAACCCACAAGGGGTGTACAATCTGAGGTCCCTAACTCACATTCATCCATACACATACTAGGGACAATTTAGCCAGGAGCCAATTAACCACTTCCTGACCGGCCGTTGCATATAAACAGCCGGACGTGGCAGTGCAGGGTCGGATGGCCGTTTATAAACGGCCTCCCCGCACCCTGCTTGTGCGCGTTCCCTCGGAGCGCGCAGCACCGCGATCCAGTGCCCGCTGTGTCCTCCGGACACAGTGAAACACCGATTGTCGGATGGGACCTCTGTACGAGGTCCCGATCATGTGATCATTGATTGGCCAATCAGTGATCACATGCAAAGTAGTAAGCAAGATGTCACTCGTGACATCATTGCTTACTACGTGTGAAATCTGTGAATGATCACAGAGGTCACATGGTACAAGGCTATTCATAACAGCCTTGTACCATGTGACAAGCTGTGACCAATCACAGCTCACTCAGTACTTCTCAATGAGTGCAAGAATGCACACAGAGAGAGAAATGATTGCTTTTACATCCTATATGAGTGTAAAAGCAATCAGTGTAAAAAAAAAAAAAAAACTTCATCACCCCCCACAAGTAGTACAGTGTCACCATGGTGACACTGTACCGCTAGGGTGACAGTATGTAAAAAAAATAAAAAATAATATAAAAAAATAAAAATGTAAAAAAAATGGTTAAAAATTATAATTTTTGGTTATAAACTAATTTGGATTTTTTTTTTACTAAAAAGATAACTGAATAAATTTTGGCAAAGATTTATGATGAAATATTATTTATTTGCAAAATTTCATTAAAAAAACACTTTTTAAAAAATTTTTTGGACATTTTCATTTACATAGCAAAAAAAATAAAAATCCCAGCGGTGAATAAATACCACCAAAATAAAGCTTTATCTGTCTCAAAAAAATGGTAAAAAATTCATTTGGGTACAGTGTTGCATGACCGCGCAATTGTCATTCAAAGTGTGATAGCGCTGAAAGCTGAAAATTGCCCTGGTCAGGAAGGGGGTAAAAGTGTCCGGTCTGGAAGTGGTTAACCTACCAGCGTCGTGGAAAATTATTGCAGAAAAGAGGATAATTTTATTGAATTAGAGATGTTTACTAATTTTTAAAGGCAAACCATCAAAAAATGTGTGATATGTATGCAAAATGCTGATGTTAGCAGAAGGTGGCTTTTTTCAGCTTTTACCACTCTAAACTTAGTTTAACACTAGACTGTTGTTATTGTTATTATTTGGAAAATTTAAAGTTTCTGTAAAAAGAAAAAAAAAAAAAAATTCTGTGCCCCCCCCCCCCCCCCAAAAGGGGAGGTTTCCTCTTACTTGTTTGGGACAACCCTAAAAGAAACTTGTACTGATGCAGTCTTCACTGGAACACAAGGCTGCAGGAATTCTAATGCCTAGTACACACTATGAGAATGGTAAAAAAAAAAATGTTTTCAGAGCAATTGTCCGATAAGCTGATCGTTACTACACAGCTTTTGAGAGCAGATCACGACCGTTCATGTGAAATTACCTGAAGGGACAAGCATGCAAATTTCTCATAAGATGATAGAACAAACCATTTTCATTCAGTCAGTTGAATATTCATCCGTAAAGGGAAAAAAAAAAATCAAGTGACCACGACTGCAAGCTCAGAAACTACAGAATACACTACACTGCAATACATACATTACATCATCATGGTAAGCTGTATTCTGTCTTACGAAAATTTTTGGAGCGATAAGCTGATCGTTACTACACAGATTTTGAGAGTAGATCACGACAGTTCATGTGAAATTATCTGAAGGGACCAGCATGAAAATTTCTCGTAAGATGATAGAACGAACAATTTTTTTTTCTTTTCTTTGAGTTTTGACAGTATATGATGTAATACATTATCTGGGTAATTGAGGCAGTAATAACATCCCAAATATGCTTTCATAACCAGAAAAGCATAAAAATCACATAATATTGAGACATTAAGATTGAGAATATCAAAGTTGAAACGCCGAACTCTTGTCTTGGTCTGCTCTAGACCATAAGATAGGGAAAAATCCAGAAATAAGGAGATGGGGTAAAAAAAAGAGAGGAGGGAGCGAAAAGGGGGAAAGGTAAGTAAAGAAGAGAGCGCACAGAGAATACCGGGATCTCAGATGGTTTATGTTCGACTGAAATAAACTTTCAAAAGACATTGGTTCCCTGAGCAGCGTTTGAAAGAGAATCGTTTCTAGTGTAACTAAAAACACGAGACTTCCTAGTATCAAAGGGAGCCAGGTTATGGAAGCGTATAAAACCCGCTATGGGCATGAGTTGACTGTATAGGTGGTAGAGAACATTGACTCAGGTATAGTAAGGCATGTGTTTATTGGGCAGCACAGTTGCTAAATGGTTAGCACTTCCGCCTGGCAGTACTCGGGTCGTTGGTTCGAATCCCAGCCACGGCACCACCTGCCTGGAGTTTGCATGTGCTCCCGGTGCCTGCGTGGGTTTCCCCCAGGTACTCCGGTTTCCTCCCACACTCCAAAGACATGCTGGTAGGTTAATTGGATCCTGTCTAAATTGGTCCTAGTATGTGTATGTATGAATGTGAGTTAGGGACCTTAGATTGTACACCCCTTGAGGGTTAGGGACTGATGTGAATGTACAATATATATGTAAAGCGCTGCGTAAATTGACGGCGCTATATAAGTCCCTGAAATCAATAAAGCTAAAGAGAGTACATGCTGACGTCAATTTTCCTTTTAATCAGTTCAGTATTTATCTGTAAAAAAAAAATCGAGTGACCAAGACTGTGCCTGCTCGGAAATGACAGAATACACTACACTGCAATATAATACATTACATCATCGTGGGAAGCTGTATTCTGTCTTATGAGAATTTATTTTCGTAGCTTGGCTCGCTCCGGATGGCCATGTGATCCCTGACGGTCAGTAGCAAGCTTGGAGTTAACCATGACTGGCAGCATGCCAGAGGCCCTAAAGGTGGGTTGTGTTTTTGAGAGTAGACTAGAATGATTCCAGTAAAGGATGAACAACAGGGTGTGGTACTGAGGATGAGTGAGCACGTTACCTGTGCAAAGTGAACATTGGTATACAACCCTTTTATTATATCCACTGAGCAAATGTCTGTGTTCAAATTAATCCTGGAGTGTATTTATCCTTTTTATTAGACAAGCCTGAGGGAGTATCATGCAACAAATGAAATTCCTGTTGCAGGGGATGCCTAAAATCAAACTTTTTTGCTTGTGCAGACATCTGAGAAAATCAGCAAGCCAATCGCACAAGCAGGAAATTACATTTTTGGGGGGTATTCTGTATACAGACAGCGTACAAAACACCTTCAGAATGTCACATTGCATTTAATTTGTTTTTCTAATTTTTAGAAAATTACAGCAGCTGTAAATTGAAGTGAAAAGTTCATTTTAAATAACAATACATTCCAAAATGGCATGCGTGTCAATTTTATGTGTTAAAATGTTTTATAAGGATCGTGGAATTTTATATAAGGTTCTATATGAAAGGTGATACTTTAGCCTCAGTGGGCAGTAGAGGTTCAGGAACCTGGCTGTCAAATGATAGGGCTGGGTCCTAATGTTGGGAGGGAGCAGGACTTGGGCTCAGTTTGTAGAGAGAAGGGTTTGGGCCGAAGATCCAAGGGTCTTCAAAGGAATTGATCTGAAGACTAACATCACGATGTAATTAAGTGTTTGTTTTTATGAAAATGGCAGTTGTATGGTACTCAACCCGCCTAGGAATGGCAGTGCAGTTTTCTGCAGCCCTCCCAGCCTGCTTTTGGAATACAGCTCATGTGCAAAGTTTCCCAGCAGAGAATATTAACCATGTCTGACCCATGCCTCAATCTAAAGTTACTCTGTAAGGTGTCTTCCAGTGTATTGGCATGTTTTCAGAATGACTAAAACAGAAGAGATATTTTAATATGGTTGTCATAGGCAGACCAGCAATATAAAACTAGCCCTTGTATTAGTCCCCAGTATGTGATTGCATTGTGAATGATGCTAGGGGAGGGAGATGGGGCTGAATTACAGGTACTTGTATAGCGCCATCAATTTACACAGCGCTTTACATATATATTGTACATTCACATCAGTCCCTAACCCTCAAGGGGCGTACAATCTAAGGTCCCTAACCCTCAAGGGGTGTACAATCTAAGGTCCCTAACTCACATTCATACATACACATACTAGGGCCAATTTAGACAGGAGCCAATTAACCTACCAGTATGTCTTTGGAGTGTGGGAGGAAGCCAGAGTACCTAGAGAAAACCCATACAGGCACAGGGAGAACATGCAAACTCCAGGCAGGTGGTGCCATGGTTGGGATTCGAACCAATGACCTGAGTACTTCCAGACGGAAGTGCTAACTGGATTTGCGGAGTTCACTTCAAGGCACACTTATAGATCAGTGTGAGGAACTGTCCCTGTGTGATAACATTTTGCCCTTTCTGTTCTGTTTTTATCCCCTTTGTAAAGCTGTATATGTTTCACAGACATTCTACACTGTTTAGGGAAATGTGACCTTGTGGTCTTTCACTTCTATAGAGTTCCTACTGTGTTGTTAAGTTGTAGGGTTTGTTATGGGAGGGGAAAACCCCATGCCAGGCTGTCTGGTGGAGGTGAAGTTGTATATACTGAGCTGTGTTTAATAAAGAGTCATTCATTTTCACCCTACATGAAGTTCCGACTCGTGGTTTGGGAGAGCAGGGAAGGGAGTGTTTTTTTTTTTTTTAGCTATAATACCTTGGGAGAGTGCTGGAGGACTTGCTGGAAAAGGGGACCATTGGGTGAGACGCACTGCTCCGCACGAGGAAGCCCAGGCGAAACTGTTCCGCCACAATCAGAGTTGGTGTTTTCTGTTTTGTGTCTGATACATTCTTTTCCTCTGTGTTGCTATAGGACCTGTGAGACTGTGCAGCCTGTCCTGCGGTAATCAGAACATCTGGGCATGTGATACCAGTGGAGTCGTTTACTTTCGTGTAGGAACCCAGCCATTAAATCCAAGCATGATGCTGCCAGCGTGGATTATGATCGAGCCACCCATACAGGTAACAAGCCCGGCCTATGTGCCTCAATATTCCTACAGTTATGTAAGCTATGGAAAATCCAAGTTATGGCATTGCAATAAATTGTATCTAAACAAATATGTAATATATTGCAGCTTTTCAGTCCTAGGATATGGTGGCTCAATTATTAGATTTCACTTTTCAGGCAAAGAACATGTTTATCAAGTACAGAAAATACCTGTTGATATTGCCAGAAATGTTGTGTTCTTGGCACTTCTCATGAGCTTAAGCACTTGATGCTGTTGAGCGCTGTGGTAGTTCATTGTCTCTTTGTCAGCGTGTATCTGCCTGCCTATACGAGGTACAGGAAAATGGATACACTGACAACTGTAGGAGCCCTGCATGGCACCCGTAATCTCCTGGTGCAATGCTGTACAGGCTCCAAGTAAAAGAAGAAAAAAAAACAACAAATACACATATTTTACCTGCAACAAGATAAACATTTAATTATATATATATATATATATATATATATATATATATATATATATATATATATATATATATATATTATAATTTTTATTTTTTTTTTTTTTTTTTTTTTTTTTTTTAACAAAAGGTGAACTTATCCTTTTAAGTACATCAACCTGGGCTTGTTCTGTAACCTTAAAACAGAGTGCCATTCATATTTAAGAATTGCTCACGTTGTAATGTGTTTTTTTTTTTTTTTTTTTTAGTAATGTTCTTTGCACCTCGCAGTGTCAGTACTGCGCAGGTGCGACATCTGGAGATGTATACTGCATTGTTGGCTAGGAGACTGGAACTCCACTGTAAAGACGTTCTGCCACTCATTAAGGAGAAAGCTACTTTGGATGGGTTGTGAATCTCCTTTTAGCCTTTGCAGAATGAGTCCAGTTGAATGCAAATACCTACTGCAAGCTATACCATGACCTAGATTAATGAGGATCTTCACGGGGGGGGGGGGGCGTTTGTTTAATTTCTCAAGTACAATTCACAAACTTAGTAAGCAGCTGCATGGTCTATTTCAGATCATTTTAATAGTTTGGCACAAAGGAACATGGGTATGAATGATGCAGTGCAGCATATAATCAGCCGTTTACTAGAAAGCTGCTCGCTCACCTATTGTGAAGTTATATAAAATGACATGTTCATGTACAGCATATCCAGGGATGTGTCATTTGGAGGCATTATGACTACAAAACCAAATGCCAGATTATTTTGCATTTAGGTATTTGTAACCTGTAAACCAGGGGTCTCCAACTTTCTAAACATAGGACCAGTTTACTGTCCATCAGACTTTTGGGGGGCCAGACTGGCCATTGGGAGTAGAAATTTGTCCTGGCATCAGTGGTAGTAAACAATGCATCTTTGGTATTACCCCAATGAAGGGGCACTATTCCTCCCCCTAAGTGGGAGGAATAGTGCTCAGTTGTTGGTGTCAGCGGGAGGAATAGTGCCCAGTTGTTGGTGTCAGCGGAGAAATAGTGCCCAGTTGTTGGTGTCAGCGGGAGAAATAGTGCCCAGTTGTTGGTGTCAGCGGGAGGAATAGTGCCCAGTTGTTGGTGTCAGCGGGAGGAATAGTGCCCAGTTGTTGGTGTCAGCGGGAGGAATAGTGCCCAGTTGTTGGTGTCAGCGGGAGGAATAGTGCCCAGTTGTTGGTGTCAGCGGGAGGAATAGTGCCCAGTTGTTGGTGTCAGCGGGAGGAATAGTGCCCAGTTGTTGGTGTCAGCGGGAGGAATAGTGCCCAGTTGTTGGTGTCAGCGGGAGGAATAGTGCCCAGTTGTTGGTGTCAGCGGGAGGAATAGTGCCCAGTTGTTGGTGTCAGCGGGAGGAATAGTGCCCAGTTGTTGGTGTCAGTGGGAGGAATAGTGCCACATCATTTGTATGAGTGGGAGGAATAGTGCCCATCGTTTGTGTCAAGGGGAGAAATAGTGTCTCATTTTTGATGTCAGTAGCAGTAATTATGCCCAGTTGTTGTTGGGAGGAAAGGAATCGTGTTTTGTATCAGTGGGAGGAAAAGTGCCCAGAGGGCCAGATAAATGTAAGCAAAGGGCCACATCCGGCCCCCGGGCTGCAGTTTGGAGACCACTGCTGTAATCCATATACAGATAACACTCTGCCAGTGGTGTTTGTGTTCAGATAGAAAAGCTGATTTATGAAAGTCGAAAATGTTCACTTCGCAAGGTGAGCAATCATTTTGAAAATGAATCTTCATTTGGCATGGTAAGTAAGGAGAACCTGTCTTCACAATGAATACTAAATCATGTGCAAAGGAAAGTTTAATAAAATGATTGTACGTGATTTCACATAAACCTAGGTTCACTTCATTCCTTTAATCCATTTACACCTCAGTAACCCATATGTGCAGTGCCAAAAAGCTGGGTTTTAACACCCACGTGGTGCACCTATGCGTCGCTGGGCAGGCAGTGTTTATGTTCTGGGAGCATGCTACCAGCACAACAAACGAGCTGCTGAAAACTGCTCGGTCCCAAGAAAACATAGCCAATCACAATGGACACATGATCGCCGATCCTTCCCATCCCTCTGAGCATTAGAAACTTTTAAAGGGGATGCCAGGGCAAGCAGGACGAGGTTAATGAACAAGAGAAACCTATCCATTTCCCTCACCCATGTGAAACATGCCAAGCTATTGTATTTTAACAGCTGGCACCCTTGGCTGTCAGCACACCTGAACACTGGCTGCATCATCAGGAACCTAATGAAATTCGCTTTTGTTGCAAATCAGCACCACAGAGTCATTATCTATGATCTCCCCAAGTTTTAAGAGCATTGTTGGATCTAAGACACAGACCCACATGTAGATAGTGTATGTAAAGCAAAACCATTTTTGTTTTGGATTGAGTAGAAAGGGGTTAAAACCCCTGTTGGTTTATTCCAGGCTACAACAGCTAGAGGTGAAAAAATGTGTCCCCATTGGGAGATTACCCTTGTACCTCTGACAAATACAGTGAAGGAAATAAGTATTTGATCCTCTGCTGATTTTGAATGTTTGCCCACTCACAAATCCCTCCTGAGATGTGTGCAAGCTTGGGGGTGTTCTGCTCAGGGGACAGGACAACTGCACCGCATCAAAGGGACGATGGACGGGACAATGTACCATCAAATCTTGGGTGAGAACCTTCTTCTCTCAGCCAGGGCATTGAAAATGGGTCGTGGATGGGTGTTCCAGCATGACAGTGACCCAAAACACATGGCCAAGGCAACAAAGGAGTGGCTCAAGAAGAAGCACATTAAGGTCCTGGAGTGGCCTAGCCAGTCTCCAGACCTTAATCCGATTGAAAATCTGTGGAAGGAGCTGAAAGTTCGAGTTGCCAAACGTCAGCCACCAACCCTTAATGACTTGTAGAGGATCTACCGAGAGGAGTGGGCCAAAATCCCTCCTGAGATGTGTGCAAACCTGGTGGCCAACTACAGGAAACGTCTGACCTCTGTGATTGCCAACAAGGGATTGGCCACCAAGTACTAAGTCATTTTTTGTGAAGGGGATCAAATACTTATTTCCCTCCTGAACATGCCAATCAGTCATCATTTCTTAGACACGCATTTCTTTTGAATTGTTTGTTGCTATTCTGTCTCTGTGTTACAATACACCGAACATTCAATTTTTAGACTGATCATTTCTTTGTGAGTGGGAAAACATTCAAAATCAGCAGGGGAGCAAATACTTATTTCCTTCATTGTAGGTGTCCTCATCACTTTCTGTACCAGACACAATGGTTACCAGGACAATAGTAAAGTTGAATTTCTCCAGTGGGGTTACAGATGGCAATAAAAACCTCACAGAGGCCCTGACACTGCCACACTTGCATACTTGATAGGGTTGTGTACTAATGTGGCGCCAAGAGCCCTAGAATATTTCTGATTTATGCAACTGCATTGCCTTCCCATATGTAAAAATTGTATTTATCTGGGTAATCCATTCTGTCAGTGATCTGTGTCTTCAAAGTGTCCCCATCTGCCACCTGTGTATATATAGTACATTCATATCAGTCCCTAATCCTCAAGGACCGCACAATCTAAGGTCCCTAACTTAGTCATACATACACATACTAGGGCCAATTTTAGATCGGATCCAATTAGCCTACCAGCATGTCTTTGGATTGTGGGAGGAAACCCACGCAGGCACAGGGATAACATGCAAACTCCAGGGAGGTGGTGCTGTGGTTGGGATTCAAACCAACGACCCTAGTACTGCCAGGTGGAAGTGCTAACCATTTAGCCACTGTGCTGCCCATGCATCCTGCACTTTGAAGCCCCCAGCAGGTCTTGGTAGGGAGCACAGAGGTTAGTATTTACTTCAATACAGCCTCAATGATGTTGATTTTTGTCTCCTCGTCCTGCCCCGTAGTGGGATTGCTGTGTCTGGATTGTGTAAGAGCAGGGAATACCTTGTGACCCAAGTCTGGTTTCCTTCGCTCCATGTGAGGTTACAGAGGAGCTGGCTATATTTAGAGGCTTTGGAATGAGTAGTGTGGATGTACAGTCAAGCCCCATTGTTCTCCAGATTCCACAACAGATTCCTGGATTAGATCACGGGAACAGGTACAATGCTCGAGGTCATGTGGAAAGTATGCAAGCCTAGTCCCAAGATTCAGACGTACAGTTGTGGCCAAAATTATTCAACCCCCACTGAAATTGAGTGTTTTGGCCAGTTTGACATTGCTTTTGATCATTCAGTCATCTTGCTTACATTTACATTAAAGAGGCACTTGTAGGTCAGACAAATATAACATAACAGTTATAATGAAATAACCACAAATGTCTTTTCTGTGCTCACAGCATTATCAGTTTTATTCAACCCCCAAGTGACATTCAATCTTAGTACTTAGTACAGCATCCTTTTACAGTTATAACAGCTTTTAAACGTGAAGCATAGCTTGACACAAGTGTCTTGCAGCGATCTACGGGTATCTTCGCCCATTCTTCATGGGCAAAGGCCTCCAGTTCAGTCACATTCTTAGGCTTGCGCACTGCAAACTGCTTTCTTTAAGTCCCACCAG